CTCTCAGTACATTTGTTGGTTGCTGGTTGATTTGTGGCTCACCTTTGGCCTGCTACCATGTTCTCTTTGAGGTGGTTGAGATGTTGTGGATGTAGATCCTCAGGCCAATCAGTGAAGACAGTCTTCTGCCAATCAAATTCCTTGCGAGCAAAACGCCACTTCCTTGCTGAAGGTAACTCGTCTCGTCATGTTCCAGAACCCTGTTAGAGGCGATCTGCTGGTCCATTCACCTCCTGGAAGGAGCCGTCAGAGGTCCCCCTGTTGGCTGTGGGGTTTAAATGATGCTCACTTGGTACTGATGGGTCCAAACTACCGAGTTAACCCCCTTTCCTTGACATCCTCGCCCCCACCTGAATTGGACCCATGCTTTCATGTGGTTCCACCAAATTGTGACCCAGCCAGCTGAAACGGGATCATCGGATCAGGCAATGTTTTCCCAACCTGTTCTGGTCCAGTTCTAGTCCTGTTCTAGTGACTCTGTGTGAACTGGTGTCTCGTGTTCCTGTGGGTCCTCTGCAGACCTTGGTAGGAGCCAGTGGTTCTTTGGGCTCCTGTTGCCTTCCTACCATCTGGACCCGGCTGGCCCATTCTCCTCCCATCTCCTGCTGCTCTCTGCGTATCTCTTCTTCCAGAGCAAACCTGACAGACAGTTGTGGGTTAAAGTCCCAGCAGATCAGCAGGTTCTGAAATACTCAAACCAGCCCATCTGGTACCAACAACAATCAGAGCCATTGAACTTCCTTTTGTCCTCTGATGCTCGGTTTGAACTTCAGGAAGTTGTTTTCACCACAGGTTGCTGCGGTATGATTGGTTAATTCTCCATTTAACAGACGGAACAGAAATCGTCTCTGAATGTTGAAATATGGCGGCAGGTTGAGTTAAAGACGCATCAGAACATAAAGGGCAGTCAGGAACCTGGAGAACCGACCCAGTGGAACGTTCCACAGCACCAACATGGATCCTCCAGAACCGTTCCACCTGTTCAGGAGGAGCTCTGCCTCTTTATCTTCATCATCATCAGAGTTGAGACTGGCAGGCGCCTGAAGTTCATGAAATCAGTGGAGCATCATGAGAACAAGCGGCTTCAGTAACTGGAGGAGGTTCGACCTTTATTCCTGCCACACGCTGGTGGCGGCCATGTTGTTGTTGTTGTTGTGCAGCAGAATGTGGCTGGAGATAAAGATCCAGATCGGGATCTGAGATTGGGTCAGAACCACCTGCTTGTTTTGATGAAACGCTCCGTTGGTTCTGTGGCTCGTTGGCTTCCCGGGTCGGCCCGTTTCCCCGCTGGCAGCTCTGCAGGCGCTGCTGTGGCTTCAGGTGACTGCAGCTCCGGTTCTGGTTCTGAACCCAGCCTCAGGACGGCTAACCAGGCTGCAACAGCAGAACCATGTTAGAGTTCACCTGCATTAACCGCTGTTTCAACACAGAGTTAATCTGTAAACCCAGAAGTATTTTCCAGGCAGAACGGGTCACGGATCAGAACCTTGGAGCAAACTTCATTTAGAAAACCAGGAAATACATCGAGCAAATATTTGTCACTGCACAGTTCTGGAGAACTGTTGTGAGCAGCACTGCTTAAAGAACCAAGGGCCTAGATGGAAATGATTTCAGAAGACGAGATGCGTCTACTGGAGCTGATGTCAGTAATCAGTAAAACAATACAAAACAATAACTGTTTTCAATAGCACGGAAATTCCTCATACATAAATGAACATTAACATAGTATCATACAGAGGGGGAGAAATCACGTCGTCTTGTGGTGGATAAACTTCTGGAAATTTGTGACGTACTGTGCATCCAAGAAACTTTTCTACCTAAGCAGAACCTAGAAAGACTAAACTCCCTGCATAAAAATTTTTATGGTGCAGGTGAATCTACCACTGACTATAGCACCAAGTTAGTCCGGGACAGAATTTCCAGTGGCGTTGCAGTGCTGTGGCATAAAAGATAAGATCAGCTGATTAAAGTGATCAGACTGGATGTTGATTGGGCTATAGGACTCGAGTTCAGTTTTGGAAATAAAAAGTTCATTATATTGAAAATTTATACAGAGCTGCCAGGAATCTTGGCCCCCCCTGACCAGCTGCTGTTACAATTTCTTGAGTCTGTGGGTGCGTTCACACTGCAGCCTGAAGTGACCCAATTCTGATTTTTTTGACGTAATGTGACCTGTGTCTGATCTTTTCATGGCAGTGTGAACAGCACAGGTCGGATTCTTTTCGAATGTGACCCATATCCGATACGTATCCGATTCAAATGCGACCATAACGTCCAGGCCGCATCCATCCGAACTGAACGTCACTGATTCTCAACAAATCTCACTATTCTGCTTCCTGATTCAGGCAAGCAGGAAGAAAAACAACAAACATGACGGATTATATGAGGATTAAGTCCTTAATATGTTGCTCCGGCCAGATAACAACTTCAAATATGTAAGCTAAGCTCCACCGTTAGCCTCCATGTTTACTAAACACTGAGCACTTCTTCTTTTTATGGCGGTTGGCAGAACACTGAGAATGCTGACGCTATGGCGCCCTCTACTGCGCATACGGGACACTTTCAGGTCGTTTGCCCGTTTACACTGCAGAACGCATACAGGTTGCATTTACTGGCTATGTGAACGGCCCGGCGGAAGAAATCGGAATTGCCAAAAAATCGGAATTGAGTCACTTCAGGCTGGAGTGTGAACGCAGCCTATCTGACCCATCAAAACCGTCACAATTTCAAAGGCCTGCATCTGACTTGCTTTCTTTGGTCCAATACTGATAACTAGTACAATATTTACTGCTCATGAATTTTACATGCAAGAGTAAAATTCAGTCTGCATCCAGTATGCAAGTAGGTTGCTTAAATTTTTTGTATTAGATTACTGAAATATCTCTACCAACCCCAAAGTCGGTCCTTGAGGGCCAGCATCCTGCACGTTTTAGTTCTCTCCCTGGTGGTTGTAACAACCTTTTCAGCTTGTCAATGTTCTTCTTAGGCCTCCTAACGAGCCATCATTTGATGCAGGTGCGTTAAACCAGGGAGAGAACTAAAACATGCAGGATGCCAGGCCTCCAGGACCCACTTTGGGNTAAACAACCTACTTGCATACTGGATGTGGACTGTTGGATGTTAAATTCATGAGCAGTAAACATTGTACTAGTTATCAGAATTGAACCAAATAAAGCAAGGCAGATGCAAGACTTTAAAATTGTGACGCTTTTTATGGGTCAAATAGACTCAAGAAATTGTAACAGCAGCTGGTCAGGGGGGCCCAATGTAAGCTTTTGTCAGGGGGCCCAAGATTCCTGGAGGCGCCCCTGGTCCCACTGCATGGGAGAGAAGCAGCAGATCCTCAATGTTATCAGTTGAAACTCTTCCACAGAGACCCAGGCCTGGATCAGAACCAGATCCGTGTGGGTCCAGTCCAACACCAGACGGTTGGTTCTGGTTGTAACTTGTTGTCGTCTGTTTTCCTGTTGGAGCATCACATCGGATTGGCTCTTCAGACAGAACCGGTTCTGCTCCTGATGGTGATGATGAGATGCAGCGTATGGTGCCACCATGTGGGGGCAGTATAAACACTGCATTGTTACTGCAGGCAGAGATGGAGGCAGAGCATCGTGGGAGTTGGAGCGTAGAGCTTAGCAAGATGTTTGTCATCACCAAAGTATTCCAGGATTGGTTCTAATAATAATAATAATAATAATAATATATAGTGATGTCATGTTGCAGCGTGCAGACTCTCTCTCTGCGCCTATGAAGTCTGACTCAGCCTGTGTGGAGTGACTCCAGGGGCAGGCAGTCCGACTGCTTCTGAGCAGTTCAGGTCCAGAACAGTCCTTTATACTGAATCATTTCTTCACAATGAATCAGTTCTTCACAACGACTCAGTTCTTTGTAATGAATCAGTTCTTTATAAAGAATCAGTTCTTTACAATGAATCAGTTCTTTTAATGAATCAGTTCTTCGTAATGAATCAGTTCTTCATACTGAATCAGTTCAGCTCAGATGAAACATTCAGGTGAACACCAGGCGCAGGCCAACTTACGGACAGTTAGCTAGCACTAGCTCTGGTGCTTGTTTGTCTCTGCAGTGAAACAATCGGCTGCTGCTTCAGTTTTGTACAAAGCTCACATTAATCACGCAGCGCCCCCTGCTGGAGCCGTGGCACAGAGAAATCGTGGCATGTCTTATTTGCTTTACATCTTGCTCCTGCATAAAGAAAATGGTCTAATCCAAGGCCGGTGCCTCTCACATCTATCGCTTCCCCCAGCAGCTGCCTGAGAAAAGCCACAACTAAAATTAAAGCCATTTAATCTTCTCTGTGGATGAACATGAGGAGAGAGACAGACGGACAAACGCAGCCAGAGTTCAGGAGGAAGAGGAGGATGACTGACGGGCTGCAGAGAGAAGCAACCAGACAAACGTCCAGATGAGTCGGAGAGACGGAGGGATAAAACTCCAGCTGGAGGAGGAGGAAGAAGACACAGTGGATTCATCCACTTCCTGTGTTCTAGACATCTGTGTTCAGACAAACAGGTGACCTCTGACCCCACTCGCCTCATGGCCTCAGCAAGACTTGTTGGTAAATGAACGTTGCGCTCAGATTTCCCATCAGAAATCGTGAGGTATTGTCCTTTGGTGACCCCTGCTGGTGAGCTGCAGGAACTGCAGGTTCCGTGTTCTTCAGCTGATGACGTGGTGCAGGCTTTTATTTTGACGTCAGGAAGGACTAAATAGTTTTTCCTCAACAGAGCCTCAAGTCTTTCTGTCCAGTGATTCATGTAATAAATTAAATTCACTAAATTTATTCAGTTAAAGTCGAAATGTTGGAATTAAAAACATCACTTTTTCAATTTAACTCAAAGATACAGTTTACAGTGCAGCTCTGATGACTGAAGATAATGACCTCTGACCTGAACTGGTCAAGGTTTTCTGAACGTCAGGACATGATCAATCAATCAGGTCTCTGCGTGGAACTCTACTTTTATTCTTTCTTCTGTTTTCAGATTTTTTTCACACTCAGAGGAGGAAGAGGTGAGAGCACACACACCTGGACACACCTGTACACACACACATCTGGACACACACACACACACACACCTGGGCACACACACACCTGAACACACACACACCTGGACACACACACATACACACCTGGACACACACACACCTGGACACACACACATACACACCTGGACACACACACATACACACCTGGACACACACACACACACATACACACCTGGACATACACACACACACCTGTACAGGTGACTGGGGTCAAATGTCACTGTCCGGCAGGATCACCAGCCTGAACATGCAGCCAGACATTATGGGATGGTTTAGATCCATGGGTTTGAACGGCCTAGTCAAAGTTCAGTCTGCAGACAGGCAGCCTGTGAGGTTCTGAACATTTAGGGGTGTGAATACTTTTTCCATCCTGTTGCTATGGAGACTAACCGTTCCCCCCCTCCTCCAGGTGTTCTGGCTGTGATGAATCGCCTCCGGTCCAGATCCGGTCCGGGTCTCAGCCTGCTGATGTTCTGGACCCAGTGAGGTTCTGGCAGAACTCCGGGTCGATCCAACCAGGAAGTTCTGGTGCCGCTGCTCCTCTCCTCACTGTACGGTCACATGCCAAAGGATTACTGTGGGAGCAGCGCCTCCAGCTGGACGCCTTGGCCTGAGAAACAAGCGATGGAAGGACGACCTCTGACCTCCAGACGTTTCTTCATCCCTCCTCCCTCTCTCTGTTTTGGGGACAAACGGACACTCTGGACGCTGCTCCGTCTGGGACATAAAAACTCTGAGGAGCGCCTCGGGGAACTGCAGCTGCCTGAACCGACGGCGAATGTGTGAAGTGGATTTAAAAGATGGCTGCAGATGTTGCGTTGTCCCCTCCCTCCCCTGTTGCTGTCTGACGGTGTCTGTGTTTGTATGTGACATCCACCTAACAGTCTTCAGCCGTTTGATACCCAGAATTTACTTTAACCATAACGAAACAAACGACCACAACAAGGAGAAAAAAACCACTGCAACATGTGAAATGGGAATTTTATGCTTTCATAGACACAAATATGTGGATTTATAATGAAATAAAAAGTATTTTTCTTGGAAAATGTGATTTTTGGGTGTGACGTTCGCATGAAAGAAGCATCAACACATTTACAGTTCTTGTGCAGGTTGGAGCAGCCAGGTGTAACCATGGTGACCACATGGATGTGCATTACTAACACAGCGTGTTAGCTGCTAACACTAGCCACAGCTACTGCAGGCGCCATTACTGCGCAGTTATCACCAACACAGGGTGAGCAGGAATCAATCCTGCTACAGAAAGTCAGATTAAAGCTGAGGAAACCGGCAACGTCTTGATAATCTGGTTTCTGTCAGTTCTTTAAGTTGCTAAAGATGAAGAAAGTGCTGAAAAAGGTGAAGAACTCAAAACCACTTAATTTATTTTTCTAAATGTATTGGCTTCACCGCACACCTGTTGCCATGGCAACCAGTTGACATCAGCTCTGCTAGCCAAAATAGCAGACGTTACGTTCATGTGTATCAGGAACATCAGTGCCAAAAAAACGCAAACAGAACATTGTCTGCTACAGTTGCCAATTGGTGACATGAACAAAGCAAAGGCTGATTAGCGCCACCATCCAGCCATTATCCAACACGCTGCAGGCTTTTCCACTCAGACCAGTTCAGATGCAAATGGACTAGAATCATGTTCTTTCGGCTGAATGTTCAGATGTTTCAGTTTTTAGGACTCTTATTTAATTCAGAATGTTTTTATTTATTCTGAGTTACATTCATCACTCCACTCACCGCCACATCCCGAACACGCCTCTCATAAAACTAACTATTGGTTTATTGTCAGTAATGTCTCAAACTTATATTAGCTGTCAACTAAAACATAAATCAAAGTACTAATTTTAGGACATTTTATTAACAGAAATAAATATCGATTCAAGAACAATACATCGTCTAAAACAAACTATCAAAGCCGCCCTGCGGTCATAATCAGCCTGTCTGCTCTGCTGCTCAGAGTAAGACGCCCCTCCCTTCAACATGGACTCTTGTGTGTTTGTCCAGATTTCCTTTCTGGATGAATCTTTGTCCACAAAAATCACAGGAAAACGGTTTCTCACCCGTGTGGAGCCTCATGTGTATTTTTAAGTTGGACTTGTAGCCAAACCTTTGTCCGCACACTTCGCAGGCGAACGGCTTCATCCCTGTATGTGTCCTCATATGGATCTTCAGGGACTCCTTGTGGCTGAACCTTTGTCCACAAACATCACAGCCAAACGGTTTCTCTCCTGAATGCAGCCTCATGTGGATTTTGTGCGACTCCTTGTGGCTGAACCGCTGTCCGCACAGATCACATCCGAAGGGTTTCTCCCCAGTGTGGCTCCTCCTGTGCTTGTTCAGGTTGGCCTGTTGGCTGTATCTCTGCCCACACACGTCACACTCAAAGGGTTTTTCCCCTGAGTGGCTCACTGTGTGCCGATTCAGATGCGCCTTCTGGCTGAATCTTTTCCCACAGACGTCACAACAGAATGGTTTGTCTCCAGTGTGGATTCTGGTGTGCTGGTTCAGATGGGCCTGCTGGTTGAACCTCTGACCACAGACGTCGCAGCAGAAGGGTTTCTCTCCAGTGTGGATCCTCATGTGGATCTTCAGATCGGTTCTCCTGGTGAAACTTTTCCCACAGTCACAACTAAAATATTTCAGTGCAGTTTGATCTTTACTTGGTGAACTGATGTCTTTCTGCTTCCGCTTCTCGTTGCAGTTCAGAGAACGAATGATGGAATGACCCGTCATGTGTCTCTGGAGGGAGCGCTTGCTGGCGAACTGGTTGCTGCACTCGGAGCAGCTCAAGGTCTTGTTTCCCGGAGGAGTCCAGTCGTCTTCGGCTCCGGACTCAGAACCCGATAAGGGCTTCAGGTCAGCTTCGCTGCGCTTCGATCCGTCGTACTCCTCACTTTCCTCGGTCTCAGAAGAGTTCAGAGCGTCTCTGTGGATGCTGTGGTCAAACCTTCTGCTGGACCCTGCTACTTCACCGTCCTCTTCATCACTTTCTGCCTTCGTTTGGTCAGCTGAGCTGCTTGGAAGATCATCTTCTGCTTGATGATGTGAGAACAAAGGTTTCTCTTCATCGTCGTCTTCGTCGTTCTCACCCTTCACAATGACTATATTTAAAGGGAACGCGTCTTCAGAGGGAGGGAGCTCCTCCTCCTCCTCCTCCAGGCTGCTCCACAGCTCTTCCTGTTCCTGCTTAATGCAGATGGCTTCCGGATCCGGCTGGTCCGCATCAGAACTCTGGTCTTCAGGAGGATCTTCCTCCACCAGCAGCATCAGCTGAACATCTGCAGAGAAGATGGCAGAGCTCGGATTAGTTCACATGAAGCCAAGCCGTGAAGAAGGAGTCTGCAGTCCGAGAAAACAGGCTGAAGGTTCAGTGATCAACCGAAAGTCAACCTGCAGATCTTTCTACGGCCTCCATCCTTCAGGATTCAACGACCCGAGTGTCCAGGCTGCCTAACAGAAACAACGTATTTATTACGCAGAGAGATCAGAGAAGTGTCCCTGAAGATAAAAAGAAAATATTCAAACAGGATTTTACATAAACAGCAAGAAACCATTTGGACACTTTTACTGACCTCTGAACTCCAGCTGAGAAAGAAAACCTTAAATGATTAATAGAATGTGTAAAACAGATATTTTGACACAGCCAATGTGGTCCAGCTGCTCATGGATCTTTGGCACATCCTGTGGTTCTGGTCTGCATCCTAAAGTCCAAACCCCCTGCTGGAGAAACACTGCTACTGCAGAGGAAGCTCCGTTCAGCCGCCTGGAGGGAAACGCACTGATGGCTGGTTCTGATCCACTTCCAGCTGCAACAGTGAAAAAGCTCATTGCATCTATAAAACATTTCCATGCTGCGATCAATGTCCGAT